TACCTTAAAATTGCCTATGGAGATTTCTATGTTAATTTTGAAATCATGATTGTTCCATTATCTCAAAAGCTAGGCAAGCAATTCTTGTGAAATTTCATTTGAATACTGACTCTAGCATTGTCTCCAGGTTCTAAGGTCTTCAAAATAAAAATCCCTAAAATAGAAAGGATTTTAGGGGTCAGTACAGAAAACGGTTTTTTCTCTGTAACATATCTAATTCTAAACCAATCTTCAAACTAATTTGACATTACATGAGGTATAAAGAGTACAGTTTAAAAAGTATGGGCCATGGGGTCACTTTTTAAGCCCTTATTGGAGTTTTAGTGGATTGAAAAACAGTACATTTTCGAAATTGTTTAATAATCACGAAAGGGTTATGTCTCTTTGAGTACACACTGATGTTCAAAAAGAATTGTTATGTTTCCAATCAAATATTAATCTCAAAAGAACTTTTCCAATATTGTATTATAAGATTTTTTTTATTAAACAAGATGTGTTTGTGAAACACTATGCGCCCGGCGGCAACAAAGTTAAAAAAATCTATTTTTAGCATATTGATCACAGTCAAGGTCACAAGGTCATTGATCATAGTGTCATTCGAAAGAACTTAATCAGTGGAGTATGCATACTAAATATGAAGTCCCTATCTCCTATGGTTCAAAAGTTATGGCAAAAAGTGTAAAGAGCTATTTTTAGTATATAGGTCACAGTCAAGGTCACAAGATCATTGACCTTGCCTTCGTTTGAAAGGACTTTATCGGTGGAGTATGCATACCAAATATGAAATCCCTATCTCCTATGGTTCAAAAGTTATGACAAACAGTGGAAAAAGCTATTTTTAGCATATAGGTCACAGTCAAGGTCACAAGGTCATTGACCATGGTGTCATTTGAAAGAACTTAATTGGTGGAGTATGCATACCAAATATGAAGTCCCTATCTCCTATGGTTCAAAAGTTATGGCAAAAAGTGTAAAAAGCTATTTTTAGCATATAGGTCACAGTCAAGGTCACAAGATCATTGACCTTGATGTCATTTGAAAGGACTCTATTAGTGGAGTATGCATACCAAATATGAAGTCCCTATCTCCTATGGTTAAAAAGTTATGACAAACAGTGGAAAAAGCTATTTTTAGCATATAGGTCACAGTCAAGGTCACAAGGTCATTGACCTTGATGTCATTTGAAAGGACTTTATTAGTGGAGTATGCATACCAAATATGAAGTCTCTATCTTTTATTGTTCAAAAGTTATGGCCAAGGTTAAAGTTGACAACAGACAAACAGACAAACAGACAAACAGACATAAAACAGACAAACAGACAAACAGATAAACAGACAAACAGACAAACAGACAAACAGACAGGACAAAAACAATATACGCCCGGGATCTATCGATCCGGGCGCATAAAAATATTGATTTTTATTTTAAGATTCTTTATTTTAAGGGGTCGAAAAGCCCTCCATTTTTGTTGAAAGACAAAAATAAGGTCTAGTTATTATTATTATTATTATTATATTCTTGTTTTTGAACTATGCTGAAGCATTTTAATCATGAAAGAATCTGGGGGGATAAGGCGAGCTATATGCCCACACGGATTTTGTCGCTCTGTAAGCATTTCGGAAATTTCATAGTTGTACGATTTACCTAAACATTTAAACTTTGTACAGCACTGTCCAAATGACAATATTTATATGTTTACAGTATTTTTAACGTGATGATTTTCATATTGCGTGTTAATTGTTCTGTCAAAAAATTATGTCTTCAGGTTTGGGAGATGGTACGCTTTACCTTTCCTTTTAACTGTTATTGCATACAGAACAGTCATATTGCACTGGCTACCCATGATTGAATTTGTTTACATTTTAATTGTGTAATGTAGTCTTGAACTAAATGCATTTAAAATGTTATATACACATGTAGCTTGAAAACTAGTATATTAATATTGGAAAAACATTAATTGACTGTAAATAAATTCATCATCTTATCTATTCATTTTGTTTTTGTGAAAAAATATGTTTATCTAATTTTTAATCTGAACTTTAAAAAATTGTGATTTGAACACTCGCGACAAGTAACTGGATGCTTCAATTCCGCCGCTATGACTACTAACCACAAAAGTCTAATCAAATAAACAAATATTCATATAGATTATAAAGTGTTCATGTAGAAAGTGCGTTTCGAAGTTTGCTTTTAAGGATTAGCGATGCTAAACATAATATTTAGTAAAAAATAATTCCTACGTTCGGGATTTTTCTTTCGATGCCGCCATATCGAAACTCTAGTAATCCTACTATATGGCTGGGTTAGCTTAGGTAGAGTTCATAAGGTCATATGACGTATTTTGAGTAGAAACTATGGTAGTTTGATTGAAACTCAAGTAACTCGAGTATGTACTCAGGTACGAATTGAAGTCGCCCCCAGATTCTTTCGTTCAAAGGCTATTTCATGTGCGAAAACGAAAGTAGGGTTCATCTCAAAGTGAACAAGAATAAATTTCAAGATTGACTTACTTTGGTGAAGAAAACAGTGAAAGTCAAATAAAAACTTAATTTATAATCACACTTTGATTTTTATTGATAAGTTTATTACTTTAACCGACAACACAGCATACGAATAATGAGACATAAGCTATTCTGTATAAATAAGGAAAACAAAGGAAGACAACTCTTGCATTTTACATTCTGTGTCATATTTTCTTCTGTGCCTCAAAAGTGGCACGAGAATAGTATGAAATTTCAGGTAAAATTAACCACCTGGTACCTAGGTTATTTTCTAAAATTGTTTTGATATAGCATTCCTGTAGTATCTGCTTTTAATTTGCTGATGTACACTTTCCAATCATTTTCCTCGAAAAGATGGATAAAATGATTAGAAAGTGTACATCGGCTAATAAAAAGCAGATAATACAGGAATGCTAGATTTAAGAATATAACCTTGGTACCAGTTAGTTATTTTATCTGAAATATCTTAATATTCTTGTGCCACTGCTGAGACACAGAAGAAAATTTGACATGGTTTGTAAAATGCAAGAGTTGTCTTCCTTTGTTTTCCTTATTTATATAGAGTCTGTCATTATGCGTCTGTTCTGTTGTTTTTATAGTGTGAAATCTAATTATGTTATAACAATTAGCAGAGGCAGCTGAATCCCCTCAGTTAACTTTCTGAGGACCTGGCAGGTTCAGTATATACAAATATATGATTAAGCAATATATACAAATAAATGTTAGACTTCGTGTTAATTAATCAATTATGTACAGAAAAATCAAAGTGATGCTGGCTCTCAAGCAATCAGCTCTTACATGTACAGCTCGGCTCTTCTGCTTACTAGCTCTTACAACATGGCTCTTCTAGTTACTGACTCTAACAACTCAGCTCTTATGTCATCGTTTTTAACCGGCTCTTACAGCTCGGCTCTTACTGGCTCCCCCAGTAGCTTTCTTGGTATTAAATAATATCTAAAGCCAGGAAAGACTTATTCAGTCACGTCTAAAGCTTTAAATATTTTTATTCTTTTAAAAAAATATTACCTTCTTATTATCAATTGATAGCCACTTGTGTTCTCACTTCTGCTTCAACTTTGCAACTAACTTAAATCCACCGCTTCACCTGTATTTATAATCCATGTGCCAAATGACGCCACCTAGCTGAACATTACTATAAAACAAGACTTTTCCTCAATTTTTAAAGTAATAAACTTGTCATTAAAAGTCAAAGTATGATTATAAATGAAGTTTTTATCTGATTTTCAAAGAAACTATCCAAGATATTTTTTATCAAACTTCATATGCTGATAGATATTGATGAGAGCTATGCAACTGCATCAACATTTTTTGACCTTGACCTTTCCTTTGACCTTGACCTCACTTTTTAGCTCAGTTTTGAACATACCACAAGATGGTGTTATCAAACTTCACATGTTGATACATACTGATGAGAGCTATTCAACTGCATCAACATTTTTGACCTTGACCTTTCCTTTGGCCTTGACCTTACTTATCTTAAATTAGTGTTTTGCTCAGTTTTAAAGATACCATTCGAGATATTTTTATCAAACTTCAGATGCTGTTACATATTGATGAGAGCAATTCAACTTCATTAACATTTTTGACCTTGACCTTTCCTTTGACCTTTGACCTCACTTTTCCTAAATCACTGTCAAATTTCACATGTTGATACATAATGATGTTAGCAATTCAACTGCATCAGCAATTTTGACTTTGACCTTTTATTTGACCTTGACCTCACTTTTATCAAATTGTGTTTAAGTCAGTTTTAATTGAAGAGATCAATCTAGATATTTTTATTAAACTTCATATCTTGATACATATTAATGAGAGATATGCATCTGCATCAACAATTTGACCTTGATGTTTCCTTTGACCTTTGACCTCACTTTTCCTAAATCACTGTCAAACTTCATATGCTGATACATACTGATGTAAGCAATTGAACTGCATCAACAATTTTGACCTTGACCTTTTATTTGACCTTGACCTCTCTTTATCAAATTGTGTTTTTAAAAGTCAGTTTTAAAGAAACCATTTATAATATTTTTTCAACTTCATATGCTGATACTTACTGATGAGAGCTGTACAACTGAATCTACAGTTTTTAGCTCGCCTGAGCTGAAAGCTCAAGTGAGCTTTTCTGATCACCCGTTGTCCGTCGTCCGTCTGTCTGTCTGTCCGTCCGTCTGTAAACTTTTCACATTTTCAACTTCTTCTCAAGAACCACTGGACCAATTTTAACCAAACTTGGTACAAAGCATCCTTGGTTGAAGAGGAATTTAAATTGTTAAAACCAAGGCCGGAGACCCCTTTCAAGGAGAAATAATCAAGAAAATACAAAAATAGGGTGGGGTCATTAAAAAATCTTCTCCTCAAGAACCACTGGGCCAGAAAAGCTGAAACTTATATGAAGGCATCCTGGAGTAGTGTAAATTCTTAATTGTTCAAGTCATGACCCCCGGTGGTAGGGTGGGGCCACAATAGGGAATCCAAATTTTACATACAAATGTATATGGGAAAAAACTTTAAAAATCTTCTTCTCAAGAACCACTGCGCCATAAAAGCTGAAACTTATGTGGAACATCCATGGGTAGTGAAGATTCTAAATTGTTCAAATCATGACCCCCGAGGGTAGGGCGGGGTCACAATAGGGAATCCAAGTTTTACATAGAAATATATAGGGAAAAACTTTAAAAATCTTCTTCTCAAGAAGCACTGGGCCAGAAAAGCTGAAACTTTCGTGGAAGCATCCTGGGGTAGTGTAGATTATAAATTGTCCAAATCATGACCCCTTTGGGTAGGGCGGGGCCACAATATGGAATCTAAGTTTTACATAGAAATATATAGGGAAAAAACTTTTAAAATCTTCTTCTCAAGAAGCACCAGGCCAGAAAAGTTGAGACTTATGTGGAAGGATCTTGGGGTAGTGTAGATTATAAATTGTCCAAATCATGACCCCTGGTGGTAGGGTGTGGTCACATTTTGTATTACAAAGGGGGGATATCTGTTAAAGAACAGCATGGCCAAAGTTTCTCAGCTGAGCGATGTGGCCCATGGGCCTCTTGTTTAACCTTGGCATTTCCTTTGATCTTGACCTCACTTTAATGAAATTAGTGTCAAACTTCATATGCTGATACATACTAATGTAAGCACTTCAACTGCATCACTATTCAAGATATTTTGATCAAATTTCATACATTTATACAAATTTTCATGTTGCTTTACTAATATACCCTCGGCGGGGCATTCATGTCCTCTGGACATATTTCTAGTTACCTTTATAACTAATAGGTTTGTGACAATCCGAAAGTAAATTAAGAAATGTGTTACAGTTTTGAGAGTATCAGACAACTTTTATCAATGCATCATGAAACATTTCCATGAACAATCTAAATTAAACCATACTTCATGTAAAACATTAGTCTTTTAAGACATTGAAGCTATACAGAAATATTTACTCATTGTACTGAGTTTGTTTTGACAGGTCTCCCAGGATGTGCTGTTTGACTATGTAAAACTAAAGAGGCTGAAGAAATCAACGTTTTAACAGGTTTCAAAAATCTTTAAATTTTTAGCTCATCTAAGCCGAAGGCTCAAGTGAGCTTTTCTGATCACATTTTGTCCGGTGTCCATCTGTCTGTCTGTAAATTTTCACATTTTTGACTTCTTAAGAACCGCTGGGCCAATTTCAACCAAACTTGCCACAAAGCATCCTTGGGTGACGGGGATTTAAGTTTCTTCAAATGAAGGGCCATGCTCTCATTCAAGGGGAGATAATTTGGTATTAAGGAAAATTTGATGGGATGTTTTAAAAATCTTCTTCTTAAGAACCACTGTGCCAGGAAAGATGAAACTTATGGGAAAACATCCTCAGGTAGTGTATATTCAAGTTTGTTCAAATCATGACCCCCGGAGGTAGGGCGGGGCCAAAATGGCTGACCAAAGTTTTACATAGAAATATATAAGAAAATTCTTTAAAAATCTTCTTCTCAAGAATAACAAAGCCATAATTCGTCATATTCATATGGAAGCATCCTCAGGTTGTGCAAATTCAAGTTTGTTCAAATCATGACCCCCAGGGGTAGAGTTGGGCCACAATGGCCGACCAAAGTTTTACATAGAAATATATAGGAAAATTCTCATCTTCTCAAGAAAAGCCATGACTGGTCATGGGACTACTTTTGGATTTAAACTTTTCAATAATAAACCAATTTGTATTTTTTCCTAGCTATAGTGCTCAGGTGAGCGATGTAGCCCATGGGCCTGTTGTTTAATATGATGGGTTGGTATTTTAAAGACTTGACAAAATCCAGGTCTACATTTCCATTAATAATCTAAAATATATCATACAAATAACATTAGTTTTCAAGACATTGAAGCTATACAGAAATATTTACTAATTGTACTGTGTTGATTTTGACAGGTCTCCCAGGATGTGCTGTTGAAGTATGTAAAGCTAAAGAAGAGGAACAAATTACCATTTTGACAGGTTTAACTAATGCCTAAATTTAGTTTTTTAGCTCACCTGAACCGAAGGCTCAAGTGAGCTTTTCTGATCACATTTTGTCCGGCGTTGGTCTGTCTGTTAACTTTTCACATTTTTGACTTCTTCTGAAGAACCACTGGGCTAATTTCAACCAAACTTGGCACACAGTATCCTTGGATGAAGGGAATTCAAATTTGTTCAAATGAAAGGCCAAGCCCTCTTCCAAGGGGAGATAATTATGAATAAGCGAAAAATTAATTGCATCTTTTAAAAATCTTCTTCGCCAAAACCCTTGGGCTAGGAAAGATGAAACTCATGTTGAAGCATTCTCATGTAGAGTAGATTCAAGTTTGTTCAAATCATGATCCCCAGGGGTAGGGCGAGGCCACAATTGACGATTAAAGGTTTATATAGGAATAAATACATTGGAAAATCAAATTTTTTAAAACTCTCCTTTTTTAGAACAATAAAGCCATGATTGGTCATATCTTTATGTAAGCATCCTTACGTAGTGTTGATTCAAGTTTGTTCAAGTCATGAATGTGAAGTAGGGGGTGGGTAGGGTGGGCCACAATTGGAAATTAATAAGTATCAAGGAATTTTTTTCCCAAGAACAGAAATGCAATGTTTAATCATATAGATATGGAGGCATCCTCAGATAGTAGAAAGTCATACTGGTTCAAATGAGGGCTACCACGGTTAGGGCTGGGTCACAATGGGAGGGGGGATTCAAATGAATAAATAGGGAAAAATCATCTGCTCAAAAACAGTTAGGCATTTGTTGTATGGAAGCATCATTGGGTATTTGGTAGTTTAAAATTTCCGATCCCCCCGTCTCAACTACTCAATACTGAAGTGATTTCTTCTTTTATTTCCTAGCCATAGGTCTCAGGTGAGCGATGTGGCCCATGGGTCTTTTGTTTAATATTAGGGGTTGGTATTTTAAAGACTTGACAAAATTCAGGTCTACATTTCCATGAATAATCTAAAATATATCATACAATAACATTAGTCTTGTAAGACATTGAAGCTATACAGAAATATTTACTCATTGTACTGTGTTGATTTTGACAGGTCTCCCAGGATGTGCTGTTTTACTATGTAAAGCTAAAGAAGAGGAAGAAATCACCATTTTGACAGGTTTAACTAATGCCTAAATTTAGTTTTTTAGCTCACCTGAGCGGAAGGCTCAAGTGAGCTTTTCTGATCACATTTGTCCGGTGTCGGTCTGTCTGTAAACTTTTCACATTTTCGTTCTCATTGACAAGAACAACTGGGCGAATTTCAACCAAACTTGCTACAAAGCATCCTTGGGTAAAGGGAATTTGAGTTTCTTCAAATGAAGGGCTATGCCCTCATTCAAGGGACATAATTGGGAATTAAGGAAAATTTGGTGGGATATGTTTTAAAAATCTTCTTCTTAAGAACCACTGTGCCAGGAAAGATGAAACTTATGGGGAAACATCCTTAGGTAGTGTAGATTCAAATTTGTTCAAATCATGACCCCCGGAGGTAGGGCGGGGCCAAAATGGCCGACCAAAGTTTTACATAGAAATATATAAGAAAATTCTTTAAAAATCTCCTTCCCAAGAATGACAAAGCCATAATTCATCATATTTATATGGAAGCATCCTCAGGTAGTGTAGATTCAAAATTCTTCAAATCATGACCCCCGGGGGTAGGGAAGGGTCACAATGGTCGACCAAAGTTTTACATAGAAATATATAGGAAAATTCTCATCTTCTCAAGAATAGCAAAGCCATGACTGGTCATGGGACTACTTTAGGATTTAAACTTTTCAATAATAAACCAATTTGTATTTTTTTCCTAGCCATAGTGCTCAGATGAGTGATGTGGCCCATGGGCCTCTTGTTTAATATTACTGGTTGGTATTTTAAAGACTTGACAAAATTCAGGTCTACATTTCCATGAATAATCTAAAATATATCATACAACTAGAGCCGAGCTCGTTGCAAAGCAACGAATAGGTCTTCCGTTGGAGCTACGGAATGGAAGACGTAACCTTGAGTCTAGGTCAAACAATTCTAAAGTCATAAATAAATAAGCAACCTAGAGGCTTGTTAAGGAGTTTATACAGGAAAAAGACTGTAAAGGAATGTTATGTGCAAGACCTTGAACTTTCTAAATGACCTTGCGACAAGCAATGACAAACTCTGTTATAAAAATACATAATCTGTGTATTACCGACTGGAAAAGTTCCCGTATGTTTTTTTTAGATATTCCTTTAGTCCACAGATCTACCCAAAACATCTTATCTTAAGTGACCTTGAACTTGAGTCAAGGTCATGCCCCACCCTGCATTATATGAGCAATGTTTCACTGGTACAAATACGATTGAGAATTTAAAGTTTCTCTGTCAGTAACAGTGACTCGTCCAAAAGACTGGATATGTTCAGTCAAATTTTTTTCTGAACATATATCGAATCCAAAGAATTTATTAGGTTCAAAACTATGATTTACATAATGATTTTACTAGAAATATATCTATAGGACATAAATGCCCCGCCCAGTGTATATTAGCAAATAATGCAACATTAAATCTGTATAAGTGTATGACGTTTGTTGAGAATATCTTAAATAGTTTCTTAAAAATTGAAATCTTAAAAATCGATATAGATTATAAAAATCCGTTCAGATAATGCATATAGGCATAAACTTACATAAAAATATCTCAAATGGTTTCTTAAATACTAAGCAAATTGCAAATTAAAGACAGGTGGTGTCGAGGTCACAGGAAAGTGAAGATCAAAATCATCTGAAAATGTATCAGGATGCTAAAGTTTGATAAAAATGTCTTGAATGGATTCTTCAAAACCGAAGGTCGCCCGTGAGGCACAGTGGTTAGAGCATCTAATCTACACTAAGGTTTGGATAGCTCTCATAAGTGTGTATCAGTATATGAAGTTGAGTAAAAATATATATTTTTCTTCAAAACTGTCTGAGCTAAATACTAACTGAATTACAGGGACGTAGCATCCGGGGGGGGGGGGGGGGGGGGGGGCTGCCCCCCCCCACTTTTTTCATCAACATTACCTTTAGTATACGAAATGTTAATTGAAATGATGGTTGGCCTTCCCACTTTTTACCATAGTATAGTGATATGAAGGAATTGTTTGAAAATGTAGTAAAAGTAGTAAAAAAAATTTTGGAAGTGAAGGTAACTTGCCTTTGAAAAAGTTGGCCACTACCTCCCCCCCCCCCCCTCCCCCCCCCCCCCCCCCCCCCCCCCCCCCCCTAAATAGGATTTTCGAGTTTGGGAAACTTTTTAACTTTTTTTTT